AGTGTTCTCTCAGCATGCTTACCTGATGGTGGTGGAGCTGTCACCTGGGATGATTTCCATGGCTGGGCATGGTACCTGGGCTCATTGTTGCAAATGGAAGAGTGAGGAATCTCCAAACAGTCTATTTGCATTTAATTATATCTGTCCCATCATACATATCTTACTGACACAGGGTGTTAAAAATTATCTTCCTAAATGTCTTTCCCAATACCTAAATTGAGCACTAGAAGTAATGTGTGACATTGCCTAATGTGGATTCATCTAGGTGAGCCGGGGTGTCCAACCTTTTGATGGCTCTGGGCCACACTGGAAGAAGAGTTGTCTGGGGCCGCACATTAAATACATTGTGACATGTAATCACAAAACAAAACAAAACAAAACAAAACCCTCACAATATTTTAAGTAAATTTAAGATTTTGTATTGGGCCACATTCATAGCCATCCTGGGCCACCTGCAGCCCATAGGCTGTGGGCTGCAGGTTGGACAACCCTGATTTGAGTCTATACTCAAATATATTGCATGCATATTATGAGAGATACTAATAAACTAATATGCTGTGGTTAGTTAAGACATCTCTCTAGATAAAATTTAAGACATGGGTTCATACAGAGTAGAATGATGTGTAAAAGAAGCACTGGATTTACCACATGATAAAAACATCTCAAATGAGAGAGAGAATTCCGTAATAACTTGCATATTAAATGTTATTAAATAAACATTTTGAAAAGTCAACACTTTATGAAGCCTCAAACCAAGACATAGAATTATTTCTTTATTTGTAGTGACCCTCTTGTCTTTTTTAAAAATATTTTATTGTTGTTCAATTACAGTTGTCCCCATTTTTCCCCAATTAGCCTCCCGTGCCCTGCCCACCCACACTCTCTCATGTTCAACCCTCCCCTCCCCCCACTGCTGCCCTTGTCCATGTGTCCTTTATACTTGTTTCTTAACTTGACCCTTCTCTTTCTTTGTCCCTTTATCCCCTTCCCCCCTCCCTTCTGGTCACTGTCAATTTGTTGTTTATTTTCATGTCCCTGGTTCTATTTTTCTCATTCATTTGTTTTGTTGATTAGGTTCCACTTATAGGTGAGACCATATAGTATTTGTCTTTCACCCCCTGGCTTATTTCACTTAGCATAAGGCTCTCCTGTTCCATCCATGCTGCCACGATGTGTAAGAGTTCCTTCTTTCTTTCTGCTGCATAGTATTCCATTGTGTAAGTGTACCATGTTTTTTTCCTTCACTCATTTACTGATGGGCACTGTGGCTGTTTCCAGCCCTTGGCTATTATAAATAACACTGCTATGAACACTGGGGTGCATAGGTTCTTTTGAATTGGTGTTTCAGGATTCTTAGGGTATAAACCCAGCAGTGGAATTGCTGGATCAAAAGGCAATTCCATTTTTAGTTTTTGAGGAAATTCCAAACTGTTTTCCACAATGGCTGCACCAGTCTGCATTCCCACCAACAGTGTACTAGGGTTCCCTTTCCTCCACAGCATTGCCAGCACTTGCTGTTTGTTGATCTGTTTGTGATGGCCATTCTGACCGGTGTGAAGTGGTATCTCATTGTGGTTTTAATTTCCATTTCTCTGACGGCTAGTGATGCTGAGCATCCTTTCATATGTCTCTGTGCCCTGTTTATGTCCTCCTTGGAGAAGTGTCTGTTCAGGTCCTTTGCTCATTTTTTTATTGGATTATTTGTCTTGCTGGAGCAGAGTCGCGTGAGTTCTTATATATATTTTGAAAATCAAACCTTTATCCCAGATATCATTGACAAGTATACTTTCCCGTATGGCTGCTTCCCTTTTCATGTTGCTGACATTTTCTTTCACTATGCAGAAGCTTTTTAATTTGATGAAGTACCATTTGTTTTTCCTTTCCTTTATGTCCCTTGCTCTAGGGGACATATTGGTGAAAATATTGCTGTGTGGAATATCTGAAATTTTCCTGCCTATGCTCTCCTCTAGGATTTTTATGGTATTGCGATTTATATTTAAGTGTTTCATCCATTTTTTTAAAGATTTTATTTATTTATTTTTAAAGAGGGGGAGAGGAAGGAGAAAGAGAGTGAGACAAACATCAATGTGTGGTTGCCTCTCGTGCATCCCCTACTGGGGACCTGGCCTGCAACCCAGGCATGTGGCCTGATGGGAAATCAAACCAGCAACCCTTTGGTTCACAGGCTGGCACTCAACCTATTGAGCCACACCAGCCAGGACCAAGTCTTTTATCCATCTTGAGTTTATTTTTCTGTATAGTATAAGTTGGTCAAGTTTCATTTTTTTTTTTTGCATGTAGCTGTCCAGATCTTCCAACACCATTTGTTGAAGAGGCTATTTTTACTCCATTTTATGCTTCTGCCCCCTTTGTTGAATATTAATTGATCATAGAGACATGGGTTTATTTCTGTGCTCTTCATTTTGTTCCATTAATCTATGTGTCTGTTCTTATGCCAGTACCAAACTGGTTTGATTTGTAGTGACCCTCTTGTCTTAAAACCCGACATTATACATGGTTTGTCCATACATTTTTAAATACATTATTAATTCATTACTGTTTTTTTCCAGCACCCAATAGAACCTCTTTGACTTGAAAACATATGTGTGACTTTCTCAGCTTCCATTAGGCATTCCAATAGTTCACAATAAAATAATCAAAAGAAAGAAGTATATGCTTTGGCAGGGCAGAGTAATCAATGTTTTCTGCCTTTCTATCTTTCTGTAGGTTGTGAATGTATAAAGTACTTTTGTTACATTGTTGAATAAAGTAAGGAAGTGCACAACTCTCTGATGTCTTGCAATAATCATTCTTTCTAAAGGAACACATCTCACCCTCTACCTCAGTGACTTGAAAGGCTTTCACATTTTGCATAGCTAAATGAATATATTATTATGAAAGACATACACAAGTCTTGTGTGTATGAATATATACCAATAGTATAAAAAAGGTCTAATTGACCCTCTGCTTTCACGAATTATAATTAATAATAATTAAAAATAATAGCTAACATTTTACAGCGTTTGAGTCTGATATTTTACAAAGCTTTATTGATTATCAGCACTGTTTCATATAACAGAGAGTGCTTTAAAAGACAAAATAAGAAAAAATTGAATAATGCCTTTAAAATATGAGCTCTTTGCTGGTAAATCTACTACTCAGTTCCTTATTTCTTTGTCTTTCTGAATGATTGTTTATTTAAGCAGTTTTGCGTATTCTTGGATATTGTCTAAAAAAGCTAAAATTGATGGAAACGAAGTTATCCTGTAGTGACCTGATTAAGTCCTGTTGTTGAACAACAGAAAAACCAAAAATGATGTGCTGCTTAAAGAAATGAAATTAAAAGAGTAAAGTGAGAAAGAAAGCTAGCCACAAGAAACATCATTTACATCTAGTGTCAGGAATTTATAATTGTGGAGTAGCTTTGAAGGCTATTTTTGTCTGAAATGCAAATGAAGCCAATTTTTACTGCAATACAAATTGGCAAAGACTGGATGTTATTACTGTTTGACAGCTGTCCTATGACCTACATGGAAAAAGTCCAAGGCCAGGGTTCTTAGAGGACAAATATCCACGTAACCAATGGCTGTCTCCCAAAACAGGGTAACAACTGAATGGGTGATGAAATGAGTTTCAAGGTAACATCTGCACAACCATCATCAACTACCAATACCATAGCCTATGTTTGCTACTGAATATATATACATTCATATATATATATATATTCAGTAGAAAATATATATTCATATATAAAAATATATATATTCAGTAGCAAATATAGGCTATGTATATATATAAAATATATAAATACATATATATAAAATATATATATATAAAATGTGTGTATATATATATATACACACATATATACACACACACACACTTTTAAAGAACTTGTAAACACTTTTAATTTTGACCTCAGAATTTTAAGTTTACATATTAACCTAGGGTGCTTAATCAACTTAGGAAGTTAACAATAATTTTATTCTCTTCTGTTTCTCATAGGAAGAGAATTATCAGGCTTAACTTATTTATAGTATGTTGGAAGACAATTTTTTAACTTTTGTGAAATATGATAATAGGATTTTAAGACTTTTTTATCATTTTCTATTTTTTTAAATTTGGAATTATGTATAACCAAAGTTAAAAGAAAACATACCTTAAAGTGCAAATACCTCAAGTGATTTTTAGGTTTTTGTTTATCCATCAGTATTGGAACAGCAGGGTGACAGCAACATATTTGATAATTTTCAGTAATGTAAAAAAAATGGCACTATTATTCTCTATGATAATATTCAGTACTCTTATATTGAGAATAGGTTTGACTACTCATATAACACATATAATATTTGAGGTATAGTTTCAAAATAAGATCAAACAGCATTACTAGATTCTAGGATCTACTATGGCTCTACTGTTGTATGATTTCTATATTACTATATTTCTAATATTTAGCGTAATTTTGAACTCAGTAAATATTTTTGGTTGAATGAATATTTCACGCAGTGGCATTTAAAAAAATAATGATATATTTGATCCCTAATTCATGTTTCTGATATTCCTTCTCAGCTCCTTGCAAAGATTCACCTGTGAGGCTTTTATTTTTCAAACAAAGTTTTCTAATCAAGTTGCTATTGCTTTTGTCAGCTCTCAAGGTAATACTGTGTAGTGGGAGGTGCAGCGCTGTATGTGGAAGATCACAGTTTTTGAGGAAGACAAACCTTGTTCTTATTGCAGTTCTGCTATTCTCTACCTATGTGCTCAGGGCAAGATATTTATTCTCCCTAATGTTGAATTTTGCCATGCATACAAGTGAGAATAATAATCTGAATACTTAATTGAACATCCAGTCAATATACCTAACATCCCGCCTAGTGCATAGCAGTCACTCAAATTGCTTTGCTTAACTAGGTTATGAGACATTATTTTTAAAAAAGTAGCCAGTAAAAGGCAAATGGTTATCATGTTTTCAGTGTTTTCCACTTTCTTCTTGTTACCAGACGACGACTTTTTTCATGAACTGCCAGAAACCTTTCCATCTGATCCACCTGAACCTCTGCCGCATTTCCTTATTGAGCCTGAAGAAGCTTATATTGTGAAGAATAAGCCTGTTAACCTGTATTGTAAAGCCAGCCCCGCCACCCAAATCTACTTCAAGTGCAACAGTGAATGGGTTCATCAGAAGGACCACATAGTAGATGAGAGAGTAGATGAAACTTCTGGTAAGTTTTCCATTGCATTTGGACTGCTACTTAGGATTCACTTACTACTTTAGCATGTTGTCATACTGTTCTTTAAACAGGTACAATTGAAAATGGAGTCGTTATTTTTTGACAAAAAGTTTTGAATCAGTTTGGTTAATATTTGGTGATCTCCCTCCATGCATTGCAAAGTGAAATGTGATAAATAAATTTTGACTTGATTCCTATTGGACTACATGGAACTGAAGCATGGTTCACTCTAGGATAAATAGTGAGAATTACTGGACTGAAGAAATAGTAAATGCACTAGTGAAAAATGCCCTTGGATTTTACTTCTCTGTCAAGGTTGGTGTCAGGTCTAATTATCCTAAGATTGGGAAACATGTTCAATTAAGGATAAGTTGTACTTGTTTGCATGACTCTCCAAAGTTAATTTACAAGCATAATATCTCCTCATACTTTTAAAAACAATTTATAAATGTTATAAATTCAAAGTATCCTGTATCCTTAACTTATATCTAAAAAAATAAATCCTAATTAAATAACTTAGTTGATGTTAAATTGAGGACAATTAAGAATAGTAATAGTGTGGGATCCAGAGAGAGGAGAAAGGGTTAGTGTAGCTACCATCTATCTGGGTGCATCTTGATGAGAGTATCTTTGCTCCTGCCATAGTTAAAACTCCTGACCTTATTGCTCTGTAAATATCATCCTTAACAGTAATACTAAAAGCATAGAGAGTATGAAATAGATTTTAATAACATGCAAAATTTAGTTTGGCTATAAAGGAAACTTTCTTGATAGCAATTATTTACTCCACAGTGGGTAACTTAAGATAGTTGTAAAATCAGTAGAGTTGTTTTAATCTTGAAAGATGTATATCTTTCCACAGTGGTTTAAGTGCTTTTGCTTTCCAGCAGGGAAAATAACAGTCTGAACTCTCAAATCCCTTCCACATCTATTATTTGGTAATATGGATACACATATTTTAAATATTAAGACTTCACTGATCAACATTTTTAAACAAAATAGCATCATATATGACAAAAGTGAAAGCATTTAAATACTGTATCTTCATTTTCATTCTTAAATATCTCTTCATAGCACAGTGAATACATGTTTTCAAAACTTAAATTGTAGTGAATTCATTTTGGCATCCAAAGGTGGGATTAATTAAGAATGCGCAAAGACCAGCACTTGAGGAAGGTCTGCGTTCAATGGCTCTGACAGCATAGAGAGCATATTGAGGTGATGGTACCTAAAGAAATAGCGCAGACAGGGGGAGGGCAAAGGAGAGGCATCTTTCTAAGAAGAATGTGAGGCATATGCTTCTATAACAAAAATGGTCTGAGAAAATCAGGTGCCAGCTCTGCCTAATTGTCAATTTGTAAATCAATATGCTCACTGCATGCAAGCTGATGCTGGAGAAATGACTGGGGATTCAACTGTACCATAACTGACTTTAGGGAATTGTCCCACCTCTTCATCTAATTACTCAGAAAATACCTTTACCAGATGGCTTCAAAATCTCAAGTGAATTGAGTTTTATTTGTTTTAGCTCATTTATTTGTAAAGGTTTCAAACACAGAAGTTTTATTTTTTTAAATATTTTTCTTTTTTTTTTTTTATTGTTCAAATGCATTTGTCTCCATTTTCCCACCACCACTCTCCCCTGCCCCACCCACCCCCACCTCCAGCCCTCAATCCTTCCCCACTTTGGCCTTGTCCATGGTTCCTTTATACATGTTCTTTGCTTTGACCCTTCCCTTTCTGTCCCCATTACCTGTCTCCCTCCTTCCCTCTCATTACTGTCAGTTTGTTTTTTTTATTTCAATGTTGTTGGTTATATTTTTCTTGCTTGTTTGTTTTGTTGATTAGGTTCCACTTATAGGTGAGATTATAAGGTATTTGTCTTTCACCACCTGGCTTATTTCCTTTAGCATAATGCTCTCCACTTCCATCCATGATGTTGCAAAGGGTAGTAGCTCTTTCTTTCTTTCTGCTGCGTAGTATGCCATTGTGTAAATATACAGTAGTCTTTTGATCCACTCATTTACTGGTGGACACTTAGGCTGCTTCCAGCACTTGACTATTACAAATTCTGCTCCTATGAACATTGGGATGCATATGTTCTTTGGAATTGGTGTTTTGGGATTCTTATGGTATAATCCCAACAGTGGAATTGCTGGAATCGCTGGAACAGTGGAATCCCTACACTTCCATTTTTAGCTTTTTGAGGAAATTCCAAACTGTTTTCCACAGTACCTGCACCAGTCTGCATTCCAACCAACAGTGTACTAGGGTTCCCTTTACTCCACAACCTCGCCAGCATTTGTTTGTTGATGTATTTATGATGGCCATTCTGACCGTTATGAGTGATATCTCATTGTGGTTTTACTTTGCATTTCTCTGATGGCTAGTAGTGATGAGCATCCTTTCATAGGTCTCTGGGTCCTGTGTTTGTCCTTGGAGAAGTGTTGGTTCAGGGTCCTTTGCCCATTTTTTTCATTGTATTGTTTATCTTCCTGGAGTGGAGTCATGTGAGTTCTTTATATATTTTTGAGATCAACCCTTTGTATGAGGTATCATTGGCAAATATGTTTTCCAATATGGTTGGCTCCCTTTTCATTTTGCTGATCTGTTCTTTAACCATGCAGAAGATTCTCATTTTGAGGAAAACCCATTTGTTTATTCTTTCCTTTATGTCCCTTTCTCTAGGGGACGTATAGGTGAAAATATTGCTGTGTGGAATATCAGATTTTCCTGCCTATATTCTCCTCTATGATGTTTAAGGTGTCACGACTTATGTTTAAGTACTTTATTCATCTTGAGTTTATTTTTGTGCATGCTGTAAGTTTGTAGTTAAATTTCACTTTTTTGCATGTAGCTATCCAGCTCTCCCAATGCCATTTGTTGAAGAGGCTATTTTTACTCCATTTTAAGCTTCTGCCCCCTTTGTTGAATATCAATTGACCATAGAGACATTGGTTTATTTCTGGGCTCTCTATTCTGTTCCATTGATCTATGTATCTGTTCTTATGCCAGTATCAGACCATTTCGATTAAAGTGGCTTTGTAATATAGTTTGATGATGTCAGGTATTGCAATTTCTCCTACTTTGTTCATTTTTCTCAAAATTGTTGCAGCTATTCAGGGTGATTTATGGTTCCATATACATTTTTGAAATGTTTGCTCTATGTGAAATGTCATTGGTATTTTAATAGGGATTGCGTTGAATCTATAAATTGCTCTAGGTAGTATAGACACTTTGATGATGTTAATTCTTCTAATCTATGAACATGGTATATGCTTCCATTTATTTGTGTCTTCCTTAATTTCTTTTTTCAGTGTTGTACAGTTTTCTGAGTACAGGTCTTTTACCTCCTTGGTTAAGTTCATTCCTACGTGCTTTATTTTTCTTGTTGTTAGAGCAAATGGGATTTTTTTTCCTGATTTTTTATTCTGATATTTCATTGCTGGTGTACAAAAATACCTTCAATTTCTAAATATTGACTTCATGTTCACTGCTTTGCCAAATTCACTTATTATATCAAGTAGTTTTTTGGTGGAGTCTATAGGAGTTTCTATGTACACTATCGCGTCATCAGTAAACAATGACAGTTTTACGTCCTCCTTTCCAATTTGGATGCCTTTTATTTCTTTTTCTTGTCTGACCGCTGTGGCTAGGACCTCCAATAGTATGTTGAATAGAAGTGGTGAAAGCAGACATCCTTGTCTTGTTTCTGATCTTAGCGGGAAAGATTTTGGTTTTTGCCCATTGAGTATGATGTGGGCTGTAGGTTTTCATGTATGGCCTTTATTATGTTGAGGCATGCCCCCTTTATTCCAACTTTGCTGAGTGTTTTTATCATAAATGGGTGCTGTACCTTATCAAATGCTTTTTCCGCATCTATTAATATGATCATGTGGTTTTTGTCTTTCCTTTTGCTTATGTGATGTATTACATTTATTGATTTGCGAATATTGAGCCATCCTTGCATCCCTGGGATGAATGCCACTTGGTCATAGTGGTTGATCTTTTTAATGTATTGCTGGATGTGGTTTGCCAATATTTTGTTGAGAGTTTTAGCATCTATGTTCATCAGCGATATTGGCCTGTAGTTTTCTTTCTTTGTAGGGTCTTTATCTGGTTTTGGGATTAGGTTGATGCTGGCCTCATAAAAACAGTTTGGGAGTCTTCCTTCTTGGGTTTTTTTGGAATAGTCTAAGAAGGACAGGGGTTAGCTGTTCCTTAAATGTTTTGTAAAATTCTCCTGTGAAATGGTCTGGTCCAGGGCTTTTGTGTGCCAGGAGTTTTTTGATTACTGCTTTAATTTCACCAGCTGTTATTGGTCTGTTCAGGCTTTCTGCTTCTTCCTCATTCAGCACTGGAAGGTTATATTTTTCGATAAATTTGTCTATTTCATTGAGGTTTTCCAATTTCTTGGCATATAATTGTTCATATTAATTTCTTACAATCCTTTGTATTTCTGTGGTATATCATTTGTTATTTCTCCTCTTTCATTTCTGACATTATTTATCTGGGTCCTTTCCCTTTTTTTCTTGATGAGTCTGCTTAAAGACTTGTCGATTTTGTTTATTTTTTCAAAGAACCAGCTCCTGGGTTTGTTGATCTTTTGAATTGTTCTCTTAGTCTCTATGTCATACAATCCTGCTCTGATCTTTATTATTTCTTCCCTCCTACCCATTCTGGGCTTTGTTTGCTGTTGTTGTTCCAGTTCTCAAAGCTGTAGGGTTAGATCATTTATTTGAAATGATTCTATCTTTTTTTTAGGTAGGCCTGTATTGCTATGAACTTCCCTCTCAGGACTGCCTTTGCTGTGTCCCATAGGTTTTGGACTGTTGTATGTTCATTTTCATTTGTTTCCAGAAACCTCTTTATATCTTCTGTGATCTCATTATTGACCCATTCATTGTTTAACAGCATGCTATTCAGTCTTCATGAACTTGAATGTTTTTGAGTATTTTCCTTGAGGTTGGTTTCTAGTTTCAAGGCCTTGT